TATTTTCGGGTGGATTTTAGCCACGTCAGCCGTTAATCAGTGTCGACGGTCACGTGATAAGTCAGTTTGTGTATACATTCGTGCTGTTTTGGACAAATGTACGCAAAAATTAATGATTGTAGAAAAAGTATAGTATTCAATATGTCGATAATGTTTTTATATATCTCTCTACTTTACTCTATCGTCGGGACAAACCACATAAATATTTTTCTCAATGACATTAAACTACAGTAAAGATCTGTAGAGTTTTTAGCAAGTAGATGCTATTGATTAGCATCCCCTATTAGACTGATATTTTTATTGTATTTGAAACAACCACATTTGGTATTGGAAAAAAAATGATCGTGCAATACCTAAAGACAATTTTAAAAACAGTTTGATTTCTGCTTAAATCGGAAATTCGGAATCTCTGTAGTACAACTGAGACATTCTTTATGAATTTAACTTTTAGTGACAGCTCATTATTCATTGGATTTAATCAGTTGTGATTAAATGGCTTGTCAGATCTTCCCTATGGTTTAATGTATTTGGTATTTCCAATTTAATATCATAAATTTGTATAAAAATTACATTTTGTAGATATCAATTAAAGCCAAATCCACAACAGAGTTACATCCATTACAATAGATCAAGAAGTCAAGCAAAATTTAATCTGACTTTAATTATTTTACAAAAAATTAAAGCACTTCTCGAAAGCAATATGAAATTAACCAAAAGGTACATCTCAGTAAACAAAGTGTTGTGATTTTTATTAAAATTATAACAAAAAACTATGTAATACATTTATATTTACATTTCGTGTGTTGTAGGGAACTTTATTATCAATTAAAAACGTTAGTATTCGATCAAAGAGTTACTGATCGCATTTTGTGTGAATTAAGTCGTATGCTGGGTATTGGCATTTGGGCTATGAATATCACTGCCCAAAAGGGATTGGTCTTCGGAAACCTTAATCTTGTTATGGCGAGTGGCGAAAAAGTTAATTGCAACGCAGCAGGTATATCGGTCATATGAGTAAATTGAACCATATTTTTGGAATAAACCTATATTTTAATAGGAGCATTGATACCTTCGGATATAAATGATATAGTGGAAATTCAATCCACCGCATATTTTATTTTGATTGTGGAGAAAGAGTCAATTTATCAGAAATTGCTCGAAGAAGACTTGCCCAATAAACTAACAAGACCTTTTATTTTAGTAACTGTTAGTACTGTATTATGGCAATAATTAGTTTGGTCAAATATTTCATATTGCAGGGTAAAGGCTATCCCGATTTTGGGACACAATTATTTATAAAGAAGTTGTGGATGGTTATTTCGATTCCTGTGTTTATTTTGGTCGATGCCGACCCCGATGGCATCAGTATAATGTTGAACTACAGGTTTGGGTCACTGGTAGGCAGTAGCATAGTTTTTTAAATAGTTTTTAAATTGTGTCGGGGGAATAGGTTTCTTATTTTTACAAATCGATTTTTTTTATTGGCTAGTTTTTATTGATTGAGGGAATGGTGTTGGTTAAACATGTCAAGCTAGCCAATAATTACGTTTTTATCACTTGATTTGTTGTGACCAAATACCTACTTCATTTCTTTCAGAATGTATAAAAATTTTAAAAGCTCGCTGTTGAAATATTCGAAATGGTAACGGAAGCAGCGTTGTTAATTTTTTTTTGAATTTGAAAAGCAAAGCATAGATATCGATCGGGTCTCGGAAGTTATCGGAATTTAACTTGAAGGTTCCATTTTCTTTTATATACTAACAAAATAAACTGGGATTCATTACTATCAATAACTACTGGAAAACCATGATGGCAAATTATTATAGAAGCATAATATTCATTATCCTAGAATGGAGTGTACATAGTCGTCACATATAAAAGTAGATTGTATGAGTAATTTAAAAAACACAAGGACAAAGGGTGGGTTAAACGAATTAAAAATTATGAATGTATTTAGATGAGTGATGCGCTGAAGTTACCAATGTTGAACTATCGGATTAAGCGTACGGAAAGTCTCTTGAATTTTTTAGTATTTTAGACACGGGTTTGTGAGCGATTGGATGTTTTCGGTAGAATTTAGCTACTTATGGTATGCTCACGTCACACATCACTCAATGAATTTTCTCTCGCTATTTTGCAAAAATGTATGGATAAACTAATCGTGAAAAAAATATAGTGCGCAACACTTTAATAAACTGCTGCTCTGCTGCCCTCCGTTCCTCACATATCAAACTCATGACTAAAATATCTAATTCGTTATTATTTGTAAAATCAGAAATTAATCTACTAGGACTAAAGTGCTGAAAGAAAAAAATGTTTTTAACCATATATTTCTTAATTTAATTTTAATAACTTCAGGACATTAAACGTCTAACCGGCCCTGTAAGGTTGACAAGTTATCTAGACATCCCATTGAAAATGTAGCCATCCGGTATAATCAGGAACTATTTAAATAAGCGCGTAAAATATATTATGCAGGAAGATAATAAATTTTATTGGGGAGCCTTTTCTATACTATCTAGAACGCTTCGTTAAAAGGATACAATTTATTAAATAATATGAAAACCATTCTTAATTTTTCTGCATATTTTGAGAACGAGTTGAGAGAACAAATGAACAAAAACACAAAATGAAGAAACTTTTTCCTAAAATTTATATTTACATTTGTATATATTTTTTACATTTAACTGTTTTTAGGCAAGCGCGCATATTTCTGAGCATCTGGTCGTTCCAAAAGCTAAATGGATCGGTGTTTTCCCATCGGAAATAACTCTTCTCGGTATTCAGGCCGAGCCTCTGTCGGAGAGGGAAGTGAATAAATTGAGAAAAATGATAAGATTGGAATGCGTGGAGAACAATTTGGACATTAAATGCGAATTAGAGGTTATGTTGGAAACTGGTCGGAAGGCCAGTATCGAGGGACTTATCAAGAATGAAACGTTCTTAAGCAATTGTTATTTGAGTAGAATATTTTATTCCAATAAGTTTAAATAAAAACTCATAGTTAAAAATATTTTTATTAGTCTTCGTGGATACAAGTGTTACTGAACCCGTAGTGACAGTTTTTAGCGCATTTGTGAAAAGTACATTCGTAGGTTTAATTAAAATTGTCGTTAACTCCAACATTATATAAATTGCATAGTTCTTTCAAATTCAGTTTCGTATCTAAATTTATTAAATCTGTTACATCTATTTCGGATAGATTATCACATTCTTCAACCACGTCAGCATTTTGAATCGTTTTATGATTATGTTGCAAATTTTCATACTCGCAGGCTGTCGTCACGATTCTAGATCCAGCTTCTTTAATTTTGGCCATTTCATTTAATCGGCCTCGTATTGCAGCGTTAGAGTAGGAAATCTTTTGAAAACCTGAGCGGCTGAGATATAAAACCGGAACACGTATTTTTTCACTATCGTTTCCTTTCACACATCTGGCTAAGTCGTTTTCATCTGCTTTAGTTTTCATGGGTCTTCTTGCGGCTGTGTTTCCGGGTTTTTTTGTTGGTTTCATGAACTTTTGGTTTTTAAGAATTTAGTTGATAAAACTAGCGGTAAAAATGGGAATTGTCGCTTTGTCATTTCAAATCTCGCTTTCAACCAATAAGATCTAGCGCCTAGACCAACATGGCCGCTGACAATTTGTCATTTCGACCAATGCGACATCTATAATAAGTGGGAGAAACCACAGACTGAGATAAATGCTGGTCGCTTTTAGGGTTATGTGTTCGGTTATACGTTTTGATTGAGTTATTTTTTAATGTTTAGAAAAATTTGCACAACTAGCAGCTGTAACAATTTCATAATAAAAACGAAAAAGCGGTATTCGCGAAAACGAGTGAATAGTTTAACCGTCAGTGTAAAATCTTAATATTTGTGTTTACTTTATTTCAGCCTTTAAATTTTTTAAAGGATGATATTTACATAATCTCTCAATATTTAATTATTTAAACTGGGGACTGTATAATTATAAAGTTTTGTGTGTTACTATCTTTTTTTGATATAATTATTGTAAACATTTGCTGTGTTCCGAACTGTGACGGGAATTATAAGAACTAGCAATTTATGCATTCCTTGTGAAAAAAAAAAGGTGTAAACAATAAAAGGAGAGGTTTCGTTTGATCCAACAAAAAAGAAAAAGGTGAGTCTTACTGAAACAGTTATCAAATTTCGTAATCTTATATTAGTTTAAATTATGCGAGCTTTATTTTCAACCTTATGAAATGAGTTACAACTTGCACTGTTGAATCGCCAAGAGAAGTAATATCAGCCAACTTAAAACGCCTCGTCAGGTGGGTTACCCTATTTTACCTGCTTGTCCAAGATATTTATCTAAGCCTGAATATAGTCACAGAAAAAGTCCTTCAGCAAACGTGCAATAGTTAGAACTCGAGAGCACCAAGGCTTTGAAAAAAATAGATAATTCAAATATAAAAAATTACTTGCACCTAACAACAGGTCACAGTAACATTAAAATGTTGCGATTTTGCGTCCCAGGAGTTTACCAAAATTTCATGTTCCAATAAAACAGCCATAAAATTTACATTTTGCTTGGAAAAATAATTACTGAAGCTGTGACATGTTTAAACTGAAACCTAAAGCATTCTATTAACAGTAGTATTATTTTCTATAAAATGCATCAATTATTTTAAATAGTGTCAGAACAACTGCCTGAAAAAAACATGCCCAATCGTTCTTAAAAGAGTCAATTAATTTATTAAAAGTTTCTATTTAGATTCATGAATTTCAACAATTTTACCATATTTTTATCACATTTTAAACATTAAAATAATATCCAGCAATTAAAATTTATATAATAGTTAAATCCGAACTTGCTTGTATAGGCTTTAGATTTTAGGTTTTCAATGTTTAGAACCTTCAACATCAACTTTTTTAGGTAAATTGATTACTTTAAATTACACAATAATGAGTAATATAAACAATATAATTAACAAAAAAAAACAGAAAAGTACAAAACTGAAGACTAAAATTAAAACTCTTTTTTTAATATTATTAACGATTTATTGTAAACGTTTGCTTCATTCATTTATTTATAATAGATATTACAAAAACAAAAACATTTAACATTCCATTATCTAACATAGCTGAAGTCTTAAATTGATTTCATATAATTAATTGGTGTTCTGTACGTTATTATTTATAATGCATAAATATCAACATTGATGTGTACAACGAGAACTTCTAAAAACAAATGGGCACTCCCTAACAACCAAGAAACGGTTTTATTTGTTTAGACCTTTTTAGTTTTGCAGTAGTCATTTATTAACTTATGTATATCGCAAAAGAAAAAACAAAGATTTAATAATTACAATTCCCAATACATTGACCCTAAAAAAATAATTTTTGATTTTGATATCCGGACATTAGCATACCTAATATGAAAGCCAATCGTAATTTTCTTGATACATAAATTGCAAATCTCCAGTGACGTAACTTTGTTTGTCCTTGTGCATACACAATTAAAGGCTGAGTTATTAAATAAAAGTGCTGAAGTTTAATCAAAACCGAAAAGAATTTCAAGGAGAGTTCGCTAACTCAATTTTATAAAGTTTTGATTTGTTCTTACAACAGCAAATTACACCTACATTTTTAAGTTTAGAATAATATGGAAGATCTTTTCAGAAAATGCTGTGAACAATGCGCGTTTAAAATACAGTGAGGTCCATTTAGCCAAATATAATACTGTTTCGAGAACGTGTTAAAGAGTAGGTAATAGGTAATCATGTACTACGAGATTACAACCCACTAAAATGTACCTATTATATTATTAAGCTCGTAAAAATGATTACCTCTTTCGGTTGAAAAAACATCATCTTTGGTTTCATTTAAATAATTCTTTGAATTGATTTGAAATGTTGTTTGTTGTGTAATTGCAAAAGCTTTTCGCAAATTGCTGTCGTAAAAGAACCTCATTATCGAACAATGAACCCCACAGAATCATCGACTATAACAGGATAAATTGCTCGTCAGCATTGGCTTAATGAATCACCCTGTATATTACTTAACTGAATTTAAATTGTCTTAATACGTAGTTTAACATCTGAATGATTTGTAGTAAAAAAGCTTAGCTACTTTACATAATATTCATTAGTTGACAGCTAAGAAATTTAACATTCAGTTTGAAGATTGTCTTTTTTGCCACGTACAGTATAGATGAAAACATGTACTCGATCTGTAATAATAATTCAATTTAATGGTTACAGTTTTATTATTTAATCACTTGTCACAACCATTTTGTTTATTTTTATTTCCTCTTTTTTGTTTTAATTTATTGATTTCTTTACATGATATAATAATTTGCTTAATTATTATATCTATAATTGACATTTCTCCGTTATTAAGTAAATAACAAAACGTTTTTAAAGAAGAACGAAATAGACTTTATTAAATTCCTTTATCGAAGGGAAGGTTTAGAAATACAAGATGTATTTTTTTGCACTTCAGTTTCATTGTTTCACATAATATTGCATTTCTAAACTTTATACGAAGAATGTTATCATAATAGTATTATAGACATTTAATGCTTTCACAGTTTTTATCATAAAAACAAGAAGAGTTGTAAGATATATTATAAAAGGCGAAAAAGCAGAGCATTCACATACAATAATCATTATTCAGCAGGTATCTATCTAACAAATTTTCGGTAAATACCTACTTTCGTAACAAAAAATCTATACTATTTACTTTTAAGCGTTTTCTGAAGTTGCCCAGCATTTTTGTGTGTGTGTGAACCATCTGCTGACCAAGTACATACGTATTTACAAGCAACAGTAAATTTTACCCTGTTTAATATTGTTTGTACCTTATAATTAAATTATTGAAGCGCTATTCCTTTTAGGAATGTGAAAGCATTAAAATTAGCTCTGGTTAATTATTTACGCGATATTTTCGACATTTTATACATAATTAAAACCGCAGAGATTAAATGCCTCACCAGATCAGTCAATCTACCGTCTCTTTCAAGATGAAAAAATAAAATATGCTTGCGAGACGAGATCGGGATCTATATTCCTGGAAATTCGATATACACGTAAACGAATATTGTGAACGGCTTTCAGAGCTTTATATAATTTGTAAAAACAAAAAAAAGGGTGGGAGATAGATTTTTGTCTTTTATCTATACTGATTCAATTATCTATTCCGGCGATATTTGACATTTTGTATATGTCATCAAGAGGACTGCGTTGTAACTAATATGACATATGAATTCTAAAAATAATAACAGGTTCTGTAAAAATTGTTTCCCTCACAGCTAATTGGACGATGATTGAAAATTAGGGAGAGTTTAAAATCTGTCAAATTATTACCTACTTTTTTTACTACTAATAGATATCAAGATATCTGATTGATAGTTGCAAAAGAATGCAGTATATGGTTTACTACCCTGGATAATAAAAAACTATATAGTTTACAAAGTATCTGTGCGGTAATGGAGGAAACGAGCTTTTATTTATGGAAATATTTGTCCAAATATTTTTTATATTTTTCAAAACAGGCCGACATTGTTTAAGTTTTGAGTTCCGAGTGTTCAGTTTATATTGACGATGTATATATGCTAGGTGAGTAATATTTCATTTCAATTGTTAACTCTTCGCAAGTTTGTGGCCAACAAAATTAGGCTAAGGCAAAGCTGGAAGACACATGTAAATAGCAGCAATCTGATCTGCTATAATATTAGTAGTAAGAAATTGTCAATCTTTAACTGGAAAATTGTGATGTTCGAGGTAACCTGTTTTTTCACATTGTTCAATTTTGAGTAATTCTCCACAAAACCACTTTGTGCCATATGTGCAATTGAATTTATTAATGAATTTTTAATAATACGGTTACAGTACAAAATATAAGATAATCAAATTTCCTATAAGTCACTTACTTTACCTTTTTTTTCCTGTTAGCATAAATATACCATGCGTACCATACCTTTATATGTGAAAGTTTAATATTTTCAAGAAAATAGCTTGTTTTAATGATGACGAAAATACACATGCAAATGCTTAAGAGAATTGTATTGTGGTAATACTTTACGGTCTAATCATGATTAGTTTTATTTTAGAGTTAGCAGTCGATAAACAATAATCCTAATCCCGATCTCGTTAGTTGCAACTAAATAACTAGACTCTCGAAAAGGATAACCAAAAATTGTGTGTTGCTTTCAGAGATGTATCTGCTTCTAAATAAGTTGTATAAATATTTTATTATTATATGGTAATCCAGAATTTTATCCTTCTTAAATTTGCATTGCTAAAAATGTATGTGTAATTTAAGTAAAACCCTTTTCTTCCCAAAAATTTGGCAAATTTTGTAACTTTTTAAGTAATTTTAACACTTTTTGGACCTGAACCTCATCAGGAGGGTAGTCGTCAATCAATGTTAAGTAAATTAATGGTGGAAAAAAATTCAGTAAATTTTTATTTGATTTTAAACTGATTGAAATAATTAACATGAATAACTCAAAAATAAAAAATATGTATAGGTATAACTCCAAACTCGCGTCTTTTAAAAAAAACCCAATTCACCTCATTTGCAAATGCAAATTTTACCAAAAGAACGGAACCCTGTGTTTTACAAATAGCTTGCTTTTACAAAGAATATGTTGTATTAATTAAAGACAGCTCTCCCGATTAGATTTAAGTTCAAAAATAATCAAAATTAGTGAAAGTTTGAAGTATCAAATTAACACCTACCTAAACGTTTTTCACTTTGATTATATATACTTTAGGGATGTAGGTAGGCAGGTAGATCATCTGCTTGGAGGTTGAAAAAAAATTCGGTGTCTGGCTTACCATGTTAAAAATTATTCACTTTAATATACTGAAATACCTGACCAAAACGTTTTGAGATTTTGTTGATCTGAATATCCAAAAATTTGCCAATTTTTGTTCATTCGTTTCCAGTGTCCAGCAAGTTCACTTCCTATCGCAAAAATCTTCATCAATTATGTAACATAATAGCCCTCCATTGTCCCACTCGCTCACCACGAATAATTCCGATCATACCAAAATAATCGCCATCAATCAAATCACTATATTGCGCTATATATGATATTTTTTAACAAGTTGATTGTGTTAGGCAACTAGGAAGAACCAACCGCCCTATATCACTGGCTCACGCTCCGCCTTCGCGGTCAGTGTTTCAGGGGCACAGGACGCCCCAGGGAAATAGTTTTTTAAAGGCCGTCATGTGACTGTGGTAGGGTACGAGGTGACAGATTAACTTTCAAGTGTCCTCTGTCTCCACTGGCTCCCTTTCTTCCGTGTCTAACTTAAGGCACTCTTCGAAAAAGTTTTGCATCGAACGATACACGTGCTCCTGAACACCTTCCAGCTCGTGACCTTGATCGGCGTAGCTCTGAAACAATTTAAATGTACTGGTCGTATAATTGATGTTTTGCAAATAAAAACGCTTATTTCTATTGAATATATCATATCTAACAAACTCGACCGAAAAAATAGACAGCGTACCCCATTCAAAGACTGTGAAAGTGTCGTCCAGTTTTGCTATATTTTCTGGGGTCATGAATTATTTAAAGAATGAATTTCAGAGGAATGCGGTTTTTGTATTATTGTCTTAATATTGAGGTTTGCTTTGATTTGTTAGAGGCCGTTTTGAACATTTGGGATATTCGACTGATCTCACTTTCCTTTCAATCTATAGAAAACATACAGCAGTTCAGTGGTGTAGTAATTTTTTTGGCCATATTTTTGATAAATTAACCAAATTAGCATTTTTATCAATGGAATACTATTGTTTTAAACGTTATTTTCCATTTTTAATAATAAACGTGTCCACTTTATTTTAAAATTTATTATTAGCTATAAAACGATATACCTGATATCGGAACAGGATTCCAGCTTCCGCCAAGGATCTCGCTAAAAGCACGCCGTGTTGATAGGGAGCCGTCAGATCGGCTAGGCCGTGCATGAGGAAGAACGATTTTCTGGGTATATTTTTCGCCCTCTGGGTGGCGTCTGCCTCCACGTAACCCTTGAAGTTTTCTGCCGGAAGACCCAGAATCCGTTCCGTGAAAGCCGAATCTATAACGAATATGCAAGTTATCGTCTCGTCCATACAAAAATTGGACACCCACCCGGCCGCTGATTGTCCTATTTTGGGATTTTTGAGTTTGAACGTTATCTCGGTGGCTATTAGGTGAGGATGGCAGAATTTAATGTCTAACTCTAGAATTTTCGATCATTTCAAAGCTTTGGTTAAGAGATGCATGATAAGAATTATAGAAATAAGATGGTGTTCAGTTGCCGCCAAAAACTTTTAGCAGTCATAAACATTCTAGGCAGTTTTTATATTACAGATTCTGAGGAGCTAACAAAGGGAATGTTTGAAGGTTTCTGTACACGGTAACAATGGAAGATGAATATCTTTTTATATGCAACGTTGCCAATTTTGGAATTACATATAATACACAGATACAGTATGACACATCCGACAGTAATAAGTGCAGTAGCTCTTTTATTATGCATTTTTTAAGATATTCGGAAGTAGGGGCCAAACTACTCCAGAAGAAAAAAATATTGCGGAAACAAGATATATTTTCCAGATATATTTGGTCTTTAGAATCATAGCAGCTTCCAATAGGAGATGAAAAGGCCTTTGGAATGAAACACCACAGGCCCTTAGCTCCAATTTGAAAATTTAGGGGTTGCAGCTGTCCACCTGAAGAGGGTTGAATTTAGCGATGACATTTTTACTGAATTTATTTGACTTCGCTGTCCCATACTGTATATTAAGTATCTTAGTAGTTTTTGCGAATGCCGACAATAGCAATTAGCGTTTTCCATGCCTTAGAAAAAAAGATTTCAACAAGACATTAAAAAAACATATGCATTTAAATTTGCTCCATTGCAATAATAATTTAATTTGCAGCAATGATACGTAACCAGTGTCGTTATACTCACTATAGTACAACCAATCTGTGATTGGGTTGACCGCGATACCGCACTTGAATACTTTTTGCTGATTGCCCAACCCAAGTACCATGGAAGTGACGTAACCACCGTAGCCCCAGCCCCATATTCCTATACGCGTCTTGTCGAGGTATTTGTGGTATTTGTGATCTTTATTTAACAGGTATTCGAGCACGGACAGTTGATCTTGCACCTCTACTCCTCCCAGTTGGTGATAGAGGGCTCGGTTCGTCTGCCCTTTCGATCCTCGCACGTCTAGTTTTACGTACACAACGTCGCAATGGCTAGACATGTACGTAGCCCAGTCTACACGAAATTCCTCCGTCACAGCTTTACTTCCGGGTCTACCGTTACTGAAATTTAGTATACAATTTTAACCACTGCAGAAAACTGTAGTTAATTGTATCGTGGATGCCTTTTAGTCGCTTAGAAAGAAATTTGCCAAAAATATTAATTTATTTACGCCCTACGGCGATATAAACCGAAAACTTGGCTCTGCGTTATAAACTGTAATAAAATGCGCGTTGTCAAAAATTTTATTATACAATGAAGTGAAGATATAAATATAAACGAGATCTCCAAAAAGTAAGATACCTAAATTTTTAGTTTCACAATATTTTCAAATTCGGTCCGTGGGATACTAGGCGAGTGATAGGTGGGCAAAATTAAATCGATTTGTTTCACTGTCGACATTTCGAAATTAATGTATGAATGTATCGTAAAATACATAGTTGGATTTGTTTAATTGTATAAGAATGTTGTCAAACATTAGCAAATGTTCGTATTCTTATACATTTTCAATTATGTTTTTAAAATAGCTTTTAATTGAGTTTTAATTTAATTTATAATAATAGCAATTAATATTTTAAATATTTTGCTTCATTTCATTATTAAAAAAATCCATTCAATAATATCTTAAAAATGGGAAGAATTTCATTGCAATGCAAATTTTGGTTTTTATTTGTTTGTAGTTTCGATGAAGAAATTAAATGTTTTTTTTTACTTTATTTCGTAAATGGTTCATTTGAATTTTCGTTTTACTAAAACATACAAAAAATTACAAGGTAAAATTTTCCAAATTTTGGAGTTTGAAGTGGAAATTAAATTTATATTCTAATCATGCAAATTCTTCATTTCTGGTATCGAGAGAAATTTAGAATAAGTAAATTTAGGTTAAGAACCTACATTGAGAGGTTCTTTGAACATTTGTCAAAACTGCAGCCGCCGACATTAAATTATTTCCCTCGCCGTTTTGTCAAACTAACGTTATTCTAACACGCGATAGTCGCGTTTCACCACAACTGAAACGCACTTATCATGTGTTTAGCACACGATAATAGATTTTTTGATTTTTTTTTCATTCCATGGTAAAACGCTACAATCGTGCGTTACTGATGTTTTGTCGGATAGAGTCTATTCTCTTCTCATTTAGTTTTTATTTTATTGATCTGAGATTAGATATGTTTGTCGTTCTTAAGTCTGTAGACCGCTACTTTTGGTACTAGTGTTCACAAATGCTTATACAAATTCTTTAATTTTAAAAGTTGTCGAATATTTCTTGTATTTTTCTAGATTTGAAACATTGAAATTCTTAAATTTTTCAGTAATTGCTTGGTTAGTTTAAAGAAGGGGCCACCTTGGTGTTCAGAAGCCAGTCAGACAAACAAGGAATAAGTTTGAAGCCATAGTTGATGCCAGTCGGGTCGCCTTACTATATTAAATCAGTCTTTAGCTGCCTCGGAATCAAAATGTGTAACTTACACCTCGACGACCACAGGATAAGCGGCGTCTCTGAGTTCTTCCCGCCAGGACGGAGGCAAGAAGAGCTGCACCTGGGCTTGGCTGCCTTGTGGCAAAGGCACCTCAAAAGCTTTTTTCTTGGGCATTGCCAATTCCTGAAGCACCGGTCCGTACGTAGCTCTTGTGTCGTACAATATCTTCAGAAGTTTGTGGCTCGTCGCATTGTGCATGCCGGCTAGTGGCAGACCAGGACCTTTGCATTGAAGAACGTACACCGACGAAGATATTCCGTTAGACGGAGGACTCACCTAGCATATAAAGAAATGCTCGCGTAAAAATGCACGTCCAACAAGTCAGCGGCAATGACATATTATCTTAAAATTTTTAGATAGTTCAGAATCCGTCTAATTTAAATAACCCTAATGATTTTTTTTTCGTTTTTTTAATTTCATTAATCACACCTTTGTGTTTAAATGCAATGGCTTGCCTATTTGAATTAAATTTTATACACAATACCAACGAATAAAGTTTATGAATCCGCCTTTTTTTGCTTGTCTTCTTATTGCAAAAGGAACTCCTTGTTGCCTTTACTGACAACAAACCCGTTTATTTAGATAGGTATGGTCTGTTCATAGATATAAGAAAATGACCAATTGCTTTTGAATGGGATTATCCAAGGGTGGTCTCGGAATTTAAATTAAGGTAAAATTGTGGTCCGCAATAGAAAATAATTTTCTACCTACCTGTGTTTAATATTTTTTGGTTTGGTATACTACTCATTTTAAGTTTATTAGTAATAATTCTTATTTCGGGTGTAATACAGCGTGTGTTGAATCGTGTGCGAATTATGCAAAATATGTGCGAGTCTAGTGTATCCAGGAGATGCTCCCGCCCAAATGTAGAAAACACTACAGATATTCTATTGAGACTAAGGAAATTATAAACAATGTTTATTTGACTCTCATTGAACGTGGTGCCAGCAAGAAGACACCACCGCTGATTTATTTGAAAGTTGGTTTAAAAACAAACTAGTTCCAAACATTCCTCCTAATCCTCCAAATTATCACAATAGACAGTCGACTAAACCCCTTCCTCATGTGACACAAAAGCAACAATTCAAAACTACATGTATAATAACGACATTTGTTTTCACGAAGATTATACCAAAAAGCAATTAATTGAGGTTCTACAAAGCTTGAACCTACAAAAGGAATACATCTGTGATAATTATGCAAAAAATCTAAAGCATACAGTTTTAAGGCTTCCACCTTACCACTGTATATTTAATCCCATTGAACATGTTTGGCACCAACTGAAATCTGCCATTCGTCGTAACAATGTTTTTTATCGTGTTAACTCCAATGTCCTCAAACTTATAGAAACCGAAGTTTTTAACATCCCTCCACAAAGTTGGGCAAATTCTGTTAAACATAGAAAAAGCAGAACAATCGTATATCCATATTGCAAATAATATAGAACAAATAATAATTAGAACAGGCGATGATAACGATAGTGATACTGATATATTATGTGAATAATTTTAAGTTATTTAAGTAGGTAATAAAAATAATTTGTAATTTTAATTTAGATTTAAACATAAATACATGCATAAATAAATAAATATTGTTAAGTATCTTCCCTAACAAAACCCCAAATAATTAAATTCTAAGCAAAGTACAGACCTGTTCGTCCATATTTCATTCTTACAGCTTGCCCGGGACTTTCCTTAATTCGTATCAGTTAGTTACTATCTTATATCTATGAACAGACTTTACAACATTGCAAGGCAATCCAAACCATATAGAAGCAATAAAAATCATATCTTAAACCAAACAGATAAATTTTAATCTTATAATTTGTGCTGTAGTAAACGGCAATAAAATTTCTCGTCACGTTGTAGCTGTACTACGTAAAATAAACAAAAGTAAAGCATTGGATATCCGCGACAGTACTTCCAAACTTTCTTGCCAAAATATTCTCGAAAGGCCACTACTTTTTAGTTCGTGCGAGTTGCTCGGCTAAAGGCTCCGAGGGCAGGGGGTGGTTTTACGGTTGCGGAATTTCCCTCGTTTCGAGGGCAGGCGCAAGTTTTGAAATAGTTGGAGCTTCAGTTAAATGCCCCGGACCGTTAAATCTCGATACGATATTTCAAACGGCACAAGTCGTAATTTTCTTGGAATGTTTTACGCTCTCGCGAATGGGTAGTTCGCCAAGAACGAGAAACTCGAAATTACGAAATTCACACACTTTCACTCTGAGGGGATGCTTTTCTAAGGATGGTAATTATTGAATCTAAAGCGACGCGACTTCTATAGAGTATTTGGAACATTGTGTACGCATATTCGTTTGAACGAGCATTCACAATGTTCCATTCGAAGAATTTAAAACGGGAGTTACTAATTTAGATTAGTTAAATAGTAGGGGGTGTAAGAAGGAATCTCTTGTTTCAGATGAAAAGTTAAAATTAAAAGTTATTAATGGGATGATAAAATAAAAATAAATCGCAGTTAAAATTAATAACGAAAAATGGCAGGTCAAGGAAAGGAAAACATCAATTCGCAATATATATCATGCGAGCCATCCTCGATCACTTAAAAAAAAAATTTTTTTCATTTAGTTGCACGAATTGCTATTTTTCGATTATTCAATTATTATTGCATTGAATTTCCTCCTATTTGTCGATGTATATTCTAGGAGTCTTCTATTTCTGTCCATTCTGTTTATGTGACCATATTTGCCAATTGTCTGATCCATATGTGGTGATGGGTCCAATAATAGCTTTGTAAATGTTGATTTTTGTTGTCCTTGTGTTCAGTTGTTGACTCGAACCTGTGTAATTCTGTTGTTCATATCTTTTTCGGTGTTTTCGTCTTCACTAATAAAGCTTCCTTGGTACTTATACTCTCTAGAGCCTTTAATTATACTATTTTCGAGTTATATATTCGAAAGGGGTCCTCCGACTACTAGATATTCAGTTTTAGATGTGTTTATTTTGAGTCCCCACATATATTTAGAAGAGGGTAGAGGAAACACAACAACTTTGCTTTGGCAATTAAATAACAATTTCCAGTACACAGATACAGTATCATTCCGATCAGCAGCACCGAGGTGCGGTATGCATGCTGTACTGAAAAGCTAGCTGACCCAATTTCCGTGTTGTGAGAGTCACAAGGGACTAAGGCAAACGCCACACGAATCAAGACACTGATATCAAAGAAAGCAGTTTGGTAGATACAGTAAACTTCATTTAGCGAACAAGATACATTTTATTTAGAGTGGGAAGGATAGGAACAATACAAATTTAAGCTTTAACAAAAGACTGTTAATATGTATTGCTGTTTTTCTTATTGCTTGTGTTTTTGAGGGTAAATCGTTTCATTTCGTTCGTTATTTTGCCTATTTTTTCGCTAAGTAAGGCATTAGCACGTATTGTACATCACATGATCTGGTTTTGTTTTAAAAATAGTCAATAACTTATCTATTTAATATATAAATATGTTATAAATAAAGTATTTCTATATAACAACGAAAGTCCTTAATTACATATTAATTAGAAGAAAAAAAGTATTTATATATTCAGATGTGAAAGTTGTTAATCTAGTTTTAAATAGGTTGGCTTTTTCTTTCAAATGAAAAATGAAAATGTAACTTAACTAAGCTTGTTCATTCATCCAAACAGTTCAAACACAATACTTTTATTGATTGCTGAAACTAAAGGCCAATTTGGAAAACAAATTTCCTCCCCAGGCTCTCCTCTTCCACATATCTACTGGTACTTTTTTTTCTGAATGCGACGGGGTACAGTGGCCAACATATTATAGAGGGTAAGAGTTTCAATATATCTCTCCAACACACACAAGTACGTGTGCAACTTTCCCAATAAAATTCCCACTAGTTGCTGCAGATTAAATCCTGCAAGCCGGATGTTTGATATGATTTATTCGGAAATTCGAATTAATACAACGCGGAAAGGTTTCCCGAATTACATTTTCTAGTAATCGTAGACACTAATTAACTATTAGCCAGAACAAGCGGTAACAAATATTTGACAAAGCGGCTTATACGATTATTCTCCATAATGCTTCTGTGGCAATAATCATTTTGATGCAATGGTTTATATCGAACGTTTAGGTTCAACGTCATTTTTGAATAATGAACATTTTTCTTACATTTACTTTCTAGGTACGATATCGAAACCACATTTTATTCAAACGTTAGCCCCTATTATTTACCAATGCCGGGCAATAAAAGAAGAGGAGAGGAGTCAAAACGGATATATTGATGACATTTGCATAGCGAATGGAGAAGCGTAGGTGGAAAGCAATTTCAGTATCACAATTCTCAGGCGTCTGGAGTCTGGGTTATCACGTGAATCGAATATATTTGAAATTTTGAACCAGAACATTCCATTAGGCGCAAAAAAGGGCCAGATCGCACAGGATATAAGTCTTAATACACGCACTTCAAACTATCTCGTTATGTTTTTGGAAACAATTTCCTAGTGAAACCGTGAAACCGTTCTTGGTTTTTATAAATATATATCGACAATTTTTATTGATAAATATATATCAATATTTACGATCATACCAAATGTGTTTTGAAGGTAGGGTAGATAATTAATTATTTCATCTAGGTGGAGAAGTAATTTACAAAACGTATGTTGAATAAGAAGGCAGATCTACAACAGGTTAATCATGTTGAATATAATCCAGGTCAGTTCGAACTCTATCTCATTTTAAATAGGCTCTGCTTTCTAAATCTCTGTGTCCTCTTTGTATATTTCTGTTGAACTCAAATTTTCCCTAGAGCGAGAAAAGTATAACAAAAGGGAGGTCTAGAACAGAGAAGTTTAATAGTAAGGAGGCGTACTGGATTAGCTGAGGAAATAGGGATCAATTACGGATCCCGCTCATTCAACAAATATGAATATCTAAGATAACATACCAAGGCATCGAAGTGAGTGCAGTTTCCGTAGAGATATCGGCTTCCCCAGAGCACGTCACCCAGGTCACAAGTGATGCAGTGCGACTCCAACCGACGAGGATCGTCGGTAGTCGGGTCCCGCGACACGAACAAATGCATCTGACCCGTTTTGTGCTGCTCAGTCGCCAGATAATAGCTAGAGGACGATTAACTTTATTACAATCATTCCACTTAAAAGTTTTTTCATTTTCTAAAAAGTTTCATTCCGAACCTCGCTCCCCACCGCCCCCCGAAACCAGAATTTTTCCTCGGACTTAACTTTTCCAGTTTCTGCAATGATTGAAAATACTGCACGACATACTCAACAAAAATGTCCAATGTTATAAAGTCCAAAACAATAGAGTGTATGTACAATGCTTATTTTTCACAATGATGGCAGTTAGAGAAAGCTTATTTGTTGTTTCGCGATTCATTTTTTAAGATTAGTGGAAGTGCAAAAAATATATTGGTAAACCACGTGGGTTCAATTACTAATTTCCTCACATAAGATGACTATTGTTGTCCCAAGAGAGGATTTTGACCACCTCGTGAGGACCATGACTTAGAACAGTGATATGCTGCTGGGTCACCGTGATGTGCTTGATGTGCGTGTAGGTTTCTCTACTGCCTTCTTGAACATGTGCCAGCATGAGAAAACTGTCGCCATCCGGGGAGAATATTGGATGTTCTTGGATATCCAACCACGACTTCTCCAATGCTCGTTCTGCGTGAGTCTGGAAATTATAAGGTCTACTGCTTTTTTGGTATTGAGACCGTTCCAAAAGTGCAAACATTGAAAAAGGTATTTTCCCCTTCCCCTACATGGAGGGAGGAAATTTCTGTTAAAGATTTGGTTTTAGTTTTCAAAACAGCTTCATAAATTGCTAAAGAAATCGTGCATGAAATTCAACTAATTGTGGCACCAATTTCGATTTTGTTTCCAATAGCTCGGCGAAATTGGTCTTGCGAAAAGCAATATTTTTCGTCCGTAGTTACGCAACCGTTTTATGCAAATCGCCCCTCGTAATCTGACCTTAATACTCGGCTGAAATTTTGAGCTATAAATTATCCAGGGTTAAGTTGCAAATGGGAAGTTAATTTTAATAAGAAAGTATATGAGACCGAGTTGAGTTTCCGCACTAACAGTTTGCCTCGTTTATTTCATACGATGATACATTTTGAGAATCAAAAGATAGCCAGCCCAATTTACTATCAGCAATGTCTTTGAGAGCTTGACGTGTGCTGTAAAAGTTGCTAAGTAAAATTAAAAAAAATATATACATATATATTCACCAAAAAAAACCGAACGTGTTGCATACTATACTTTTTTTACAACCGTTAGTTTTTGGGTACATTTTCGCAAAACAGCACGAATACATTCACTGACATGACCGTCAGAATTGACAAACGTCAAAATTCAAGGCGTGGGAAATATATCCGAAAACATCCGATTGCTGCCAAACCCGCGCGGTAAAATCCCGGAAATGTCCGAAGTGGCTCGAATCCGTGGGAAACGAAACGACGTGGTAAAGTGACTCTTTCCGCACGCTAGATCGGTGTGTAATTAGGTATTTTTTCTACTTCCGTTTGTAAAATTGTAAATTAGCACTTCATTTTCGTTTCCCACGCACCTGAGCCACTTAGGACATTTCCGGGATTTTACCGCACGGGTTTGGGAGCAATCGGGTCTTTTCGGAGATATTTCCCACGCCTTGAATTTTGATGTGTTGCTTTGCAAAAATGTACCCAAAAATTAACGGACGTAGAAAAAGTATAGTATGTAACACGTTCGGTAAATTTTTTAAGTCACTCGTTTATTAAACACACGTTCCGCTCGTGTTGCATAATATACTATTACAGAGGGGAGTAGAAAAGTAAAAATGGTCACAAAAGTAATTAATATTAACTTAACTAAACGGTCAATCAGATGAAATGAGACACTCAAGAAGTTGCTTAAATTTGAGAGCGGTTGGATTTTCACCCACTGGAAAACGTCGTAATCCTTAGTTTATGCATCAGTGGTGTCCTTTTTTAATCCAATTCTTGTTATACAGCACTTGAATGTAAGGCAGCGAACAATTTGCTGCCGAAGAATTTGGAAAAGATTACAAGCCCTGTAAAGTTTTTTATATTGAGTGAATTTCTAGGTAAACACTTCGAGACATCTTTGCACTTTTTTTGCTACATTGTGTTGCTATTGAAATATGGCGATTTTACAAATTTTCGTTTTTATTTTAAAATTTGAACAGATAACTTGTAATTAAAATTGTACACTCAGCGGTGTACTAAAGGCCTTATGGAATTTGCGAAAAAACATTTTTATCAAGAATTACTGCTCAAAGTTCGATTTTGAAAAATGAAAAATGAAATAGTTAAATAATTAAATAATGAAACAATCTCATTTTAGTAGTAAGGCTTTGGCTTTGCTCTAGCTTGAATAACTGAAATAATTGCTCGCCGCTGATTTTAACTATTCTCTTCAAAAGTTATTGTTTTGTAGCAAGTCAATGTAAAAACAAAAAAAAACAATGGCTAAAGCATCTCAAGATGTTGACTTAGTGTGACAGAACTCACCATCTTTTCCAAAGTATTCCCACACCACTGACGCTTAAACCGAGGATTGCGCTTTTCATCACCGGCTGAAAATCCAACACCGGCAAAAAAATGTCGAAGTTATAGTCAAAATAAGAAAATTTCTTTGTCGTTCCAACTCAATTTATACCGAACGGTTGATTATAATGTTACGTATCATTCTTTGTATTATAAATTTAGGCTTATACATTCGTACCCATCAGTTTTGCAAAATTATTTTTAAATTCTTTAAATATATCAGTGTAAATAAATAAATAAATGTGATCTGTGGAAAACATTACGCGATCGCTATCGCGTAATACATTGGTTTCAACGAGCAAAGCCCCTTTATGTCCCACTGCTGTTTACATGCAAATCATTCGTTAATCTGTAGGATTATAGACGTTTTCTATTGTGTATACTGACCTCGATGCACGTCCAGTTGGGAGCGAGACACGCAGATACAATACTAAGGTTTTGGGCACGGTTAATCCACACAACGGAAATTTGCGTGTTTTTTTGCCCTATCCAACTAGCTGACGTCAAATAGTAATCCCTGGAAAATTTGGCTGTGTTCAATAACCACACATCATAACATAAATATTTTGACATCGATTGAATAGCGAACTTGAAACAGTTCAGTTTTGCGGTGTCTACTTTTGTGTCTAATTTTTTTTTATTTTAGGGGCATTCAAAACGTCTTTTTCCTAATTATATATTAAACCTCACACACAAAATGAACCTCAAAATTTTACATTTTCAATAATATATAGTTTTAAATTAATGGCTAATCGTTTTAAAATATTAAGGCTTATACCAAAAATTTGAGCACTGCAATATCAATTTTTAACGTATTGTTTCGCAAAATAAAAAAAATACACGCTACGAATCTGTAACGGAACATTCTCGAAAACCGTATTTTTATATCTTTAGAGTAAAATGCGAAATCAAAATGAGAGGTGGGAATAAATACATTTTTAAACATATTATTTGTTATTTATTAACCCAAGAAACCAGCACACTTGAACAACTGAAACGGTTTATTCGCTATAATTCGTTTGTCGAAATAATGGACGAATGCGAGTTTGAGTCGATAATGTTGCAATTTCATCTATTTGCCTTGACGTGAACCGTCTATTTCTATATCTAATTTGCACCGAAGACTATTTATTAAAAAAATAGCAAACTCAGACAAAATTGGTCAAGATAACCTCGATTCAGTTGACTCGCGCTACTAAAGGTTTATTCAGATAGCGATTCTATTCAGCCACACACATTGTAAACACTTCGGCGCTAACGATGCTATCAACTCTATCAATCGATAACCTATTAAAATAAGTAATTGGTAAACATGTGTGCGTATGTGTGTGTTTCAGTTCCGCTTTAATTGAGTACACGAGCGAGGTTATAATTATCCAACGATGTGGAAAATATGAATCATCAGGTAAATCGCTACGATGAACTATCAAAGTTAGTGGTAAATGGACACGCAACGCGAATGCCGAAGTGAACGACGTAAATCCTGAACGTAAATTCTCAGTTTTCCGTGCGTGCTTTCCAGATTTAAAGGCGGAGGTAGCTTTAAAATAGATGTTTGTTTAAGGGTGTATAGAATGTAAGAAAGCTGCGCTATGTACTGCGCCGTCTTTAATTTGTTAATTGCAGTTGTTGAGAATCAATTAAGTAAAATATACATATCTCTATCACAAAAATTATCTGATCAAAAAATATAAAAACAGCAATTAAGATGTGCCTTGGTTTGAATTCTATCACGCGTAGTCTTGGAATATCAAATCATTATAAATTGCATCTTATCTCTAAATTTAACCGTGGCTCTTATATGTGTGGAAAGGGAAGGATCAAGTATTCAAGAGAGTCGTGTCAAACAAAACTACTTTTCTCAAGAAGACCAGAATCGGAATTCCCCTGTCATAAAAAAATAAGTAACCCTTAACTATCTGACATAATTCCAGCAATTTTCAAAATTATAGGAAAAATACTTTAAAATAACGACAATTTAGTTTTTATTATCTACATCTCAGATCTTCTTAAACGGGCCACTAATAAAAACATTTAAATAAAAACATATATAACCTTCCCTCGCCGCTTTCTTTTAGCAGAGAGGGCAAAATTGTCGAAAGAAAAAAAATCTGAACTTTACTGAAGATTTTGGTGCCATTATTCCTATACCAGCCAGCCAGCTAATACTTTCCGACATATAGCTGAGTAGGGCACCTTACACCTTAAGCAAAAAGCTCTTCTCTCTTTTCGCTCCTTCTCTCAAAATCATAACAATAAATTTAAACTGGACTCTGATATAGGTACATAATAGAAATATAGAAGTAAATTAAAATGGTTCATTTCTAAGCACGCACACTGCATATAAAATACTTAACTTACAAGAACATTCAACTTTGCTATATGCATTCCTAAATCACAATGACGAAAAATTCAACGCTCGGTTTATGACTTTGATGAACACTTAACGTTTTTTAACGAGTCTATCAAAATAAAAACGAGTTTTTAGATCAACTAAAATCTTCAAAGCCCCAAGACAACTTCTTTCCAATTTTACCAAACAGAATTGAATAACATTTTTTTTTCTAATGCATCAACAAGTGAACTTTAACAAATCTTTTGCATTTCACACCGATTCTAAAAAAATTCGCTAGATATGAATATGGATTAGTAAAGCAAAGCATTATTTTAAGGTCTAAAATGTTTAATAAAATTAGCTAAGAAATTTAAATGTATCGTTGTCTACAACGCTTCTGAACGGGAGTTTCTTTAGTATGGTCTGTTCATAGATATAAGAAAGTGACCAATTGCTTTTGAATGGGATTATCCAAGGGTGGTCCTTAACATACAATGCAACAAGATTATTACCTAAAGTTTCCGTAATAGAAAACAATTTTATACCTACCTGTGTTTAATATTCTTTGGTTTGGTATACAACTTAGTTTAAGTTTATTAGTAATCATTCTTATTTCGTGTGTAATACAGCATGTGTTGAATCGTGTGCGAATTATGCAAAATATGTGCGAGTCTAGTGTATCTCAGGAGACGCTCCCGCCCAAATGTAGAAAACACTATTCTATTGAGACTAAGGAAGTTATAAACAATGTTTATTTGACTCTAATTGAACGTGGTGCCAGCCACCAAGCATCTTTAGAAGAACCGGCCACACTGACGAAAATTCCAACATCAACTGCATCGAAAATTGTGAATAATCCCATTTCAGAGAGGAAAAAAAGAAGCGATGCTCACATTTTCTCGAGATGAAACCGGTGTGGCGGAACTACATTATGGAAGTGTATTCAACACGTGGGTATTAGATTTAAAAAAATTGCAAAAGGCAAGTTTTAATGGAATCTTTCAGAATTCGGAACTGGCGTCTGGAATATGTAGAAAAAATAGGATTTACAGAGAACAACAAAGGCCAATTATTTACTTGGATGAAACTAGTTCCAAACATTCCTTCTAATAACGTCATTGTAATAGACAATGCAAGTTATCACAGTAGACAGTTGACTAAAACCTCTTCCTCAGGCGACACAAAAGCAACAATCCAAAACTACATGTAGCAATTAATTGAGGTTCTACAAAGCTTGTACCTACAAAAGGAATGCGTCTGTGATAATTATGCAAAAAATCTCGGGCATACAGTTTTAAGGCTTTCACCTTACCACTGTACCATTCAAATCTGCCATTCGTCGTAACAATGTTTTTCCCTGTGTTAACTCCAATATCCTCAAACTTATAGAAACCGAAGTTTGTAACATAAAGTTGGGCAAATTCTGTTAAACATATAGAAAAAGCAGAAAATCGTATATCCATATTGCAAATAATATAGAACAAATAATAATTAGACAGGCGATGATAGCGATAGTGATACTGATATATTAAGTGAATAATTTTAAGTAATTTAAGTAGGTAATAAAAATAATTTGTAATTTTATTTTAGATTTAAACATAATTACATACATAAATAAATAAATATTGTTTAGTATCTTTCCTAACAAAACCCCAAATAATTAAATTCTAAGCAAAGTACGGACCTGTTCGGTCATATTTCATTCTTACAGCTTGCCCGGATCCTTCCTTAATTCGTATCAGTTAGCCACTTTCTCATATCTTTGAACAGACTTTACCTTGCATAACTTCTGGTAGTTGTAAGGCTAATTTTGAATTTTGACTTCATCTTAATTTTTAGCTCATTTGACAATAGTTTCTCGCAATTTAGTTACCACCACTAGCATATATTCAGCAACTAGGTGGTTGATTTGGCGCAGTTAGAATCAGGTAGGTACTTACTGTCCTACTAAGGCTTTCGGCGGTAGTACCTGTTGGTATTCTAAGTTCGTGAGATTGGTGAGATCCACGATCCAAAGTTGCACTTGAGGGATAGCGGTTCCAGGCTGCAAGCAATTTTTAAAATGCATGTTTTATTTAATGTCAGGCGACATCAAGTTTCTGTTACTATTGCTTACGGTAGGATATCTAACTGTTTTTGTTCCGGGAAATGATTGCGTCCTTTTCGTATCCTTTCCAGTTCTTAACACAGACCCCGTCTGGAACCACGGGAAATTCAAAATAGCGACATCTGAATCGTTAAAGGTGGCATACATTAAATGCGTTCCATCGTACGAAGCCCACAACGCCTCTTGACTCTGCAAAACGTCCTCTGAAATAAGATGCAGAACTACATATTACAATTTCTCAGAAATCAGTATTATAATAATTAGTCTGTTATTTCGGAACACTTTTGTTATACTCCTACATTGGTAATGGTATTTTTTCTAAATTTAAAGATTATTCAGTAACATCTCAAAGTATCAAAGTTATGTTTTCTGAGTGAGGATGGCGAGTTCATTGTAACAACAAACAATCATCATAAGGGCTGAAGTAAATTTATGTTGGTGTATCGGGCTTAATTTTAATAAAAATCATGACTGTAAAAACCTCACAGAAGAAATGTTACCATTTTAAAGTTATAGAGATAACAGTTTAGTGGTTATCAACAGCAATTAAAAAAAAATTGGAAATCGCTTTCCAAAAATATATCACACGAGCCTTATTCTAGGACTTCGAACAAGTAAAACACGCTAAAGCAACAGGATTGGAAAGGACTAATGTTAAATAAACTTAAAAAAAAAGCGAATACAAACTACATCGTAAGAGAATGCGCGATTTCCAGTTTATTTTATTTCAAAATTTATTTGAAGCGTCTTCACTGCCAAAATAACAGTTTGACAACTACCAGTATGCTTTTGACTTGTATTACGGTTGCCATTCAAAGCCTTCTTATTCAATTTTTTTTTTCGAAAAATACTCCAGCAAAATATCAAGTGTGCAGTATTTTAAAAGGGCTTTTCAATATAATAAAATATTGAGATAATTTTTTTTTATATTTTTCACTGCAAATAAGTTAGAGCGATTACATTTTTTAAACCTACAACCTTATAACTCTGAAGCAGTACTACACATTCATGTGTGCCTTTAACCCTAATTTTTTTTTTAATTAATATTAAATTACAACATAGATTTTCACCTATCTGTTCTAGAAAGGTTTGTGATTATTTTAGCCCGCCCTGTACAAGCTATAATTTAGCCATCAAGCCAATATGGATGTTATTATTATTGTTAGTGAATAACCTCGTATACAAATATTCGATATAAAACGAAAAAAAAATGAAGACCGGTTGCAAATTTAATTATCACGTGGGTCCGGTCTCGATCCCCGATAAGACTAAAATCCAACAGGTGTGGAATGTCACTACAGGAAATTGTTCCCGATTCCTGTTGCTGTTGCGGCCGAGCTTTATGAAATCAAAGTTTGTGTCTGTCCGGAGCTCAACTTGTTGATATTCATTTCCACAATAAATTTCTCTTTTGCGAACCTTATTCGCAATTCTCGTAATGATTTTGTTTGGCATTTTACATATTGTATCTTTTTATTATATTTATTTACACAACAAATGAGATAAATACGAGAATTTAATCTTATTATGGTAGGTCAAAAGTCAAAATACTTTATGTATAGGATCACAAGAGTTGTTGCTCGTGACGTCGCCATAAAGCTTTCTTTTGAACCGACACCTCTAACCTACAATTATTTGGCCCGCTCTACACGAATAATAAAAAATAAAATATTGACATGCCTGTGTCCATCTATTCATGTTTTATAACTGTAAGTTAAAGTGGAAATGAAATTTTTAACCTTTCGCGTAACTTCCAGTTGACATGAATATTGCGTGTTTAAAGTTCGTCAATAATAATAAAATTACGAAAATGCAAAGGGGTAAGTTAATAATAAATCATGTTTTCTACGGCAATGGAAACTTTCACGCGAAATAAAACTACTGAAAAGTTCACCGGGGAATTGAAGCGGTGTCAATTACTTTCATAATTTAAAGTCCCTTGTAAAAGGGCAATTTTGAGTTAAATGAAAGTCATAAACAAGTTGGAGTGAGAGAATGGTTTATTTTCCGAGGAATTTTTTTAATCTCCAAAAGGAACTACAACTTGTAACAAGTATAGGGTTTATATAATAGCAAAAAAAACTTAGAGAGCAAAATTATTTTTATTCATAATTACATTGAAAATATTATATACTTATATACAGGATTTATAATAGGATGTTTGTACTTTCGTATATTAAGGCATAACGTTAAAAAAGTAAAGGAAAAAATCATTTCATTTTCGTAATTCATCGTATTTAGCACTTTGTCTCGCAATATTAGCAATAAAACGTTTTTCCATTGTATAACTAACACAAAAGAATGATGTTTCACAGATGGACGAAAACTTGCACGATTAATATAACTACTACTAAAACGAATAATATATATTTTTTTAAATTTTGGAAGGGTTAGGATTATCTAACCCTAATAGACAGTCCCATTTTTATATATTTGCAGATTATAAACAACATTAAATTTAGTTTTACTACATATTAATATTTCCTCCATTATTTAGTTGTCTCCTAGAAAAACTGTGTATATTTAAGATCATTTTTTTGTATTAAAATAAGAATAACAATAAAAAATGACTAAGTTAGGGGCATAAAAGTCTTGAATTTACAATGGAAAAAAGATTCATTGCTGATATCTCGAAATTTACAACCTTTTCAACGTCGCGTTTTTTTAAAATGCTAAATTCTTATAAAACTTAAAAAAATTAAGTTGAAAATGTGAATTTTAAAGAACTTGTCATTTAGATTTGGATAGATTAAATTGGATAATATTAATTTTTGGTTATCATATACATTTACATTTCGCCTTATATAAAGATATTAACCCCAAATACGAGGTGTGTCCAAAAAGAAAGGTGACTTTTAAATTTTATCAAAAATAATTTATTTATTTATTAATTTCATCCCCTTCAAAGTGATAAAAAAAAAACTTGTGTCTCCAAGTTTTTCCAATACATGAAAAATGTATCACAATTTCCAGACAACACTAACAGTTTTTGAAATCGTATAAAATTAATGAGAATGACAATCAAAATAAATTTTCAGTTATCCTAACCGCAAATATAAATTCTTTGTAAGTATTTTTTGATATGGAATGATAGATTGCAAAGTTTCTCACGGTTGAGAATTTTTCACAAAAACAGTGGCTGACATGTAATTTGTAACTCGTATATAATTATGAAGTTAATCCATATTATCCCAAGCATAAAAAAATACTTTTTGCTCTGAAATGATTTATTTTGTTGCACTTAAGAATACATTATATGTGTAAAAAAAATAAATAAATAGAAACTCGAAACATACAAAAAAAATACTGGTGCGTAAACGAACCACTGAGAAAAAACATTAAATAATGTTTAGGGGCACATAAGATGTAACATATAACTTATACATGAACATACGAAAAAAAGTTCAAATTCGACAGAAAGCAACTAAAAGTAGTTTGTTGTCTTAATCGAACCTGATTTGATACATAAAAACGCATAATATTTTATGGTGCGTGAGCGCACCACTGATAACACCCGGTTTCATTTTTGGTGATATTTCACAAAGTATTTAAATGCACATTACACTTATTACAAACGTAAATTGTGTGGTTGTGGCAGATTCGACATCTCCTCCGGACTTTGCTAGCATGAATAATCATGAGGTGACCTTTATTATCATAATGCCCTTCATCTATGGCAGGCGCAAGATTTCTTTGAGTAATTGTTTTATCAGTTTTTAAAAGTCGCAAAGCAATGTAAGATTTAAAATCAAATCAATCACTTCATCATCAAGCGGAGTTTTTCCAGAAAGCCAATTTTTTAGTTCCTCACATGATCTAAATTCATCGGACATAGGTGCGCGAGTGTACTCAACCTGACCTTTCTTCCATTCGAAAGTAGAAGCAAGCCTGTCGTTTGCAGAAAGCATACAGCTATTCGGTATATGTAACTCGAAAATTCCAACTATATTAGTTAGTTCCCGAGACTCTTGTAGATTTATGTTTATATCTTCTTCGTCAATCAAGGTATCCACGTGGAATATAGACCGCTTCAGTATGTTCTATAAATATTTTTTCACATAAATTTACAAGGAATGCAATGCTACAATACATAAGAATACGTAAATTCAATAATATTTACTTAATAATACTTACGACTTTCATTCCTCCATAGCCGCCTCTTCTTTTTGAGTCAAATACCTCGGAAATGCCATATTTTACGAACTGTAACGTTCACTGCACAAGGCACAAACTAATACTAAAGAAGACGCTAATTGTTGCGCTACATGCGTTGACTAGTCTAAACTTGCAATAACAAAGTTTTTTTTCACAGATAAAACCAGTGGTGCATTCACGCCCCAGTAAATATTTTCAAAAAATAAAGAATAATCAATGTAGTATTTCCAATGTATGTCTTCTGCGATGTAATCTACATGCTATAGACTTAACAAAGATGGCAATACAAATCCAAAATATGTTTTTTTACTATTTTGGATTTACTTGAAAACGTGAAAATTTATGTACAGCTTTTGTTAACTTTTGAAGTAATATATAAGATCCTTCCTTTACACATAAATTAGCGATTTCTACGGTTTTATGTCCTTTAGTACTGATAATAATAAAATTTCTAAATGGACATGCAAAAATATTTCCTGGATGTGACAAAAAAAATCATAGATTAGTTGGTGCATTAACGCACCACTGGGACAAAATGGATTAACGGTGCGTCCACATTTATAACTTGAAACAACCGGATTTCGTTCACAACAAAATTTACTATAAATCGCACAACACGCTAGCCAACACGAGAAACACGTCTTAGTTGTTATCGCTGCCCCATTGTAGGCAAATGTTTTGACATGGTACATCTGCGGCGTCAAATTCGAGTTTATGCACTTCATTAACTTTGACTTCGCGAGACAAAGGGTCGAAACAAGACCGATGTTTGACTACGTGGAAACTACTTTTGGCTGCATTCACGCTTACGTTTGCGTAAATGTCTGGCTAAACTTGAAACCGAGGAAGTTTACAGCGGCAGGGATCCGCAAAATGCATTTGCAGCGCGGCAAAGAAAAGACTACTAGCATACAAACATCTAATTACAAAGTCGTAGCTATGAAGATAAAGTTAAATTTCTGCTCTATCGCGACAGTTTTTGACATAAGTAAAGTGCCAGTCCTATGTGAAAGATTTTAGATTATTATTTTATCATTATTTTACTTACGTATATAACGTTTCATACCCATGTGTCACAGTCCGTTATCAAGTGTAAAACTGAATTAATTTCGAATTCCGATTTTCGTTTTTCCGATAATATCACCCATGGTATCCACTAGTATATACGTTAAGGTGTATACTTAGCCTAGCCTAGCGGCCAGTCCCCTGACGATAGCTTAAAAAGCTCAATTACAGGGCGACCTTCACTTCCAGTCCATCGACTATGATTAATTTTAGATCTTTTATTTAAACGGAATTAAAACAAATGTGTATCTATATCTCAGGGGGAATATTTCTAATAATATATAATATAGCCGAACATAGTAAATAATAATACAATATATAAATAATATTTTTTCTGCGTAGCAGTAATAGATAACCTCCAAGACTGAGAGAATGTATATATCGCAAGCGGGACGCTAAAATTATATTCTCGCAGGATAGACTTGCACAAAACTTACAAACTAATAGGAACTCAGGATGACTACCTAAAGCTCCCGCAATATATTAATAGACTGAAAAATTAGTGTATAAAAAACAGTCTTCTTTTATATGCCTCATAGCGCAAACTTTTAGCAGGAGTAACTTTACGATTAATTCACAAGGTAAAACAAATATCAATCAATTAATTTTAAAAGATGCACGAAATATTTTTGAAACTCTCATTATATATTGCTTTTTTATATACCAAACTTTCATTCGCTTCCGTTATTTTAGAACGCTAGATGTGAAATTAGAAAGAAAAAACAAATATTTTGAATAAAATTGAAAATCACCTTTGCCGCCAGATTCAGTCTAAATCTAACAAGAATCTATCGATATTTCTAACAGTGGGACTAATGTGGAACAGAAATGTCCAGTGATTAGATTTCAGTTATGTTATAACTATTTACAAATCTTATGGATTCTTCCTGCGTCGGTTGTTGATCAATTGAACTTGCTGATGTTTCGCCAATCATCCTGTTGGCTTCTTCAAATCTTAACTGAAACTGCCGCATTCTACTCTGTACCTGGTTATATATTGTTTGAAGGGGGTGGAGCTAAAGGAGAGGCTTGAACGTTGTCTCGGATGACTGATTCCCATATTGGCAAAAGGTAAAGACCTGAGTCGCAGTTAAGATTGTTTGGTTGTTTATATATTTCTATAAATTCTCGTTAGTAGAAGAATTGATTATATGCAAAAATTTTAGTTTTATCCATAAACAAACAATCTTAACCGCGATTAAGGTCTTTCACCAATATTGAAATCAGTCATGTCCATCCTTTAGCTCCGCCCCGTCGAACAATATGTAAGCATGTGCAGAGTAGAATGTGAACCAGTTTCAGTTAACCTCTGAAGAAGCCTACAGGATCAGTGGCGAAACGTCAGCAATTTCAATTCATCAACAACCGCCGCAGGAAGAATCCAGACGATTGCGAATGGTATTACAGTAAGCCTGTGGATGTTTCTTTTAAAAATTCACTTTTAAGTTATGGACCAAAGAATAAAATTAGATATTAGATATACTGTGAGCCACTTTTAAGACAATTTTCTTTCTTTATTAAATTTTTTGTTCATTTAAGGTCCGAATAAAATATGAGGAATTAAAAAAATGGTAAAATATAAATTGTAATTTAAAATAAACAAGTTGTCATCGACTTTCGGTATAACCGGTATAAAAATATTTTACTCCAATGCTTCTTCAAATTTTACTAGTGCGACTACCAGTATAAGATGTCAAGCATACCAACCAAAAAATGTTTCATAACGTTCGTAAATTTGAGAGACATGTAATCAAATCGTTACCAACCTTGATATAACCAGTCCGGAATTCCATTGTAAATCGTATCTGGTTGTCCAGTAAAAGTAAGCCGGGTGTCCGTTTCATCTTCTGGAGAATTTCGGTAATAAATATCGTTACTATGTACGATAAGAAGAGAAGTTGTGTCACCCAGCCAACTCACGTACTGAAGTTGTAAAGGCTGCGCTTTCGGAGATGCTTCTAGCCGAACTGGAATGTGATGGCTGAAACGGAAATGTTTATTACACGAAATCTGTAGATCCAACTATTATTTTGTTATCAATTTGAGAATTGTATCAAAATTGTTTTCCAAACACATTAACCCTATCAAAGGCTTTGGCGAGAAGCCAAATAGTGGGATAGTATATAGTAAAATATACACGATTACGACAATTGTAAATCAAAGCCAAAAACCAATTGCAAATAAAGTTTCACTAGTACTAGTGACTTAGTTAATTCTTAACGCATTACGTAGTTTATAACTAATTTTAAGTATTGGAAAATTAAGAATCAGCAAAAAATAATAATTAGTTGGCCATGGCAATATCAGTTGGTAACAAATTATCGTCGACCAGTCAGAGCTTTCGGCCAACACCACTTATCTCTATTATTAATGACCAGAACCTTATTCGCGTGCACTTGTCACTGCATTCCGGCCCTTAGGTTAATATGTTTTATAAAAGCTTAAAAGTCTTCCCAAGTAAACATTGCGATGAATATTCATACGGAAGTGACAGATAACGAGGAAGTTATTTAAATTTGGGATTATTCTTCGCCTGCGCTGAATTGTAGTCCTATTTAATTTTGAAGGTCGTCTGATACGGTTTTGCGACGGGAATGTAGGTCACTCACTTCACCAAAGAAAACTATTTACATTTTCATGCGTTATTTGCTAAGCGGCGAGAATGAAATGCAATGATCCATAAATTAATATAGTCACATAAAGCACGAAAAATGCTAAGAATGATAAAATTTGAACTTAACGCGATCATTCGAGTTGTTGTATGTCCCAAGGTGCATCCACCGTTCAATCAATGGTTCAGATATGTCATTTGATATTTAAAGGAAACTTTTCTAATAGTCCCATCACATCCATAGTCCACAGGTAAATGAGTTTTCCTGCATATAGGGAGCCTCTTATATTCGGTTTAGCGTTTAGAAGACACAATTAATCAATAGGAAGTTGTAGGAATACAATCTAGTATGTTTTTTATGTAATTATTACTTCTAAATGCTAAATCAAATGTGCAAGAAAACTCATGTGCCTGTGGACATATCTAGTACTGCGAATTAAATACTGTGTATACTGGATGAGATATAATCTTAAATAACATATTTCAATGAAGTGGAAAACCAAACTTTTAAACTTTAATATGTATGTTTACCTTTTGAGTGCTGGGTTCGCTGTGGTTTGTTCTTTATCAAACTGAACTCTAATCTTATCTAATCTAATCTCTCAATTTTATCAGATATGGACTTATATTGTCAACTTACCATAGAAATGAAAATATAATGCTAAATAGTTTGTTGAAATTTAAGCACGCATTTCATACTGACATTCATTTATGTGCAACCAGGATTTCATTGTGGTAATGTAAGTCTTGGTACTAATAACCAAACTTTGACCATGAAATTTCATATAAAATAAGTGATAATTACTGATTAGTAGTGAACGTATGGTGCTAAACGCTGATCATTAGTATAGTCATATTAGGTAACAAAAGGATTTTTTTGCAATTAGGGGAATTTTTCTGGTAATTTCAACAGGGCTGATTCTGAAGATACCTCGTGGTTCTGTAGAAATGTACGCTGTACTGTAACAAACTATATTGAAAAAATCCATAGCAAAATTAATAATGAAATATCTCTTTGCTCATGTCAGTAGTCTGAATGTTAAATTGGCCAAAACAAGTGATGTGAGTCAAAGTAAATGATGGTGAAACTGTTTCAGCAATTTCGACGCAGGAGGAATCCAGAAGTTTTGCAAAAAGGTAATTTGAGTTATTATGAGTGTGTGAGGGTTTATACTAAATGGAAAAATCTAATTTGTTCTTTAATTTAGTTATAGTTAAGTTCACAAAATGTAAAGAGTTATTTAGTTCCGTCTCTATGGTAAATTTTGTCTTTTCGTTCCAGTGAAACAAGCAAAAACATAAACATCAAAATTTCTACAAGTAGTGGACTAAGTGGGTGTCCCATAATTAATCCTTCTTTAGCAATATAAGATTGACCATCAAATTTAAAATAATTTTGGTCTAAAATAACTAATAAACTATCTAACAAATCTTGTTTTATGATAGGGTTGACTTTTCTCTGAGTAAGAATATTGTCTAGTATGTTTTTAACGTCAGTCGGTGGAATGCTAGGAAATAGATTTTGAACGTGAAAGGAAATTTATGATAACAGGTTTAAAGACAATATGTTATCGAAACAGCTTTCATAAAATAATACATAACTGTGAAAATCTGAACATTTTTTGTTCTAATTTAATTGTGTTAAATGGATTTTCGTCAAGTAAAAGCCACTTGAATTCAAGCAATTACTTTACTTGCAATTTTCTACATTCTTCAAATCTTTATAAATACTCGCCACTACAACACTGCTCAACGGCACTGCAATATTTCCCAGTAACTGAGTAAGAGGCATTTTATATGCTCGTATTTCTTGTGAAAATAACCGGCAGCACAACGTAAAATTTCATGCGGACGGATATTACCCAGGCAAGGCACTAAAACATTTTTAGTTTTATGAAACGAAAAATAGTCTGAATTTTAGCGCAAATTAAAGAAGCATAAATGTGTCGAACTGATAAGGACACAAAAGCAGCTTAGTTTTATCTTACAGCAATAGAATGGTTTCAGGTAGTTAAAATATTTAATTAATTATTGGTAACGCGCGGAAGTCAGGACTGGGTAGCTGATTTTTTATATTCCTTTGTATAGATGTCCAAGTTTCGAATTTAATTAAATTATCCATCAGGACTACAACCATTAAAAGGGTTTCATGTTCGCATTCCCGAGGACGAATGTCATTAAATTTAAAACGACGTTAAAGTGACGATTCCAGATTGTTTTTATTTTCTCCCACCTACTCCGATTATTAATGACAATTATCCATTAATTGATAATGGATAATCTCTAACAGCAACACTTCAGCTTGATCATTTCTAACTCAGAATAATTTCTATTGCGCTTTTTTTTTTTCAATTGCTTCGTATATTTTATTAGTTTCTGTTCAAGTCGAGCCATTTATTATTTATTCCAATTTAATTTATTTTTCTTTGAATTTCTTATTGAATTATGTATGTTGATATTTATATATTCCTTTTTCTTATGTCATGGCCATTGCGAAAAGAAAGAATCCTTCCTGGTCCAAATATTGTACTGTACTGTATTGTATTGTATTATATTTTTACACCCACCTACAGGATTAATTTTCAAAGATAGAAAAAAAGTTTGAAGATTTTTGATTTATTATCTTATGCAAATGTCAGAAAACGATGATCGAAATATATTATTAGCTTAAATCGTAGATCTTTTTCGTTTTTTGGACATTTCAGTTTAAAAATAATTCTCATTCGATTTCTGGACAATAGCCATAATGTTTAAAAATGATCTAGTCTGCCTTGGTAGCACCTATCTTATCAATGTTTGCAATTGTTTTAACAATGTTTTACTTTTGACAACTAATCAAAACTAAAGATCTGCAGCGTAAGTTAAATAACTTAGATTTTTCAAATGGATTATACTGAAGAAGAAAAACGCCAAATAATAAGTTATTTAACTTACGGTGCAGTTTTGATTAGTTGTCAAAGTAGAACATTATTAAAACAATTGCAAACATGGTTGCTATCAAGGCAGACTTGACCATTTTTAAACAACTTTGTCAAGAAATCAAATGATAATTATTTTTAAACTGAAATATCTCAAAATCGGCTAAACGAAATATCAATGAACTATGTTTTTGAAATCAGGAAAAAAAGGTCTACGATTTAAGCTAATAATATATAATGCATTCCATTTAAAACAAATGATGTTGATGTCATTTTTACAGCTTGCGATCGTCGTTTGTTTTTTCTGACATTTTCGTGAGATAATAAACCAAAAATCTTCAAACTTTTTTTTTCTATTTTTCAGAATTAATCCTGCAGGTGGGTGTTAAAATATAATGAATAACCCTGTACTTTACTAGGAATAAAATTTAAATATGTAGGATTTGGGAAGAGTATCAAGATAAAAAGTCACCTATAAAGTGACTTAGACATTTGAAACACAAAAACTGCGTTTATGCGTTGATGAAAAAACCTAATACTTCTAGCACTTTTGAGACATTTTAAAAATTTTACTTTTACTTTACTTTACTTTTTTTAAATTTTAAATAGGAAAACATTCAAATGAAACTGAAACGATAAAAAGTCGTAATTTTACTTACTCTTTATCCACATCGTAAATCGTGTAGTGGGCCGTGTAGGATTGTCGAAAAACCTGTAAAGAAACGTGTTTTAAGTTTTCGCTATTAGATTGAGTAATGAGAAAAATTCTTCAATAAGTTATTTAATATAGGGCTTTTCCTGTTAAAAATTGTTACAAGTTTGACTTACCTATAGCAAGGAACCTGGCATAATTAAATACAATAAAACAAATTGTAGGTTTCGCTGCACTAGCTATAGGGTACACAATAAAAAATGGACTATTTTACTGATTTTTCATGTTTCTAAAAATATTTATTGAAATTTTTACATTGTTTTCATTTATATTTTGAAAACCACCTACAGAGTATATTCAAGGAGATAGATAAAAATGGTATGATTTTTTTAAATCTCTATATGTTCTAAACGTACCTTCAAAAAAATGATCGCTCAATTATTTCAAAAACGGCTGCACTAAATCCCGAGGAAATATTTTGAAATCGAAGTTGTTATTCTTCTTATCTTTACGATGATCATTTGTTTTTATTGGAATGTTCAAGAGATAATAGAGAAAAATTGTACAAGTTTTCTAAAAATGTTTTTAATAAACTGTAGGTGGGTGTCAAAATATAAATGAAAACCCTGTAGTTCAAAAGTTTGCCCTGACCTGAATTAAAACTGCCCTGCAAGTCAGGTGGGGGTGGCGAGTATAACCGCCAATTAAATTTCAAGCCGCTCGGAATCTATTTAGATAACGCTATGAAAAGCTAAAGGTTAAACTGGCAAAATTTAGAAAAAAAAACGTATTGTAGCAGACTTGATGGTAGTTATAACAAACTGCCTTCGGTCACGCAGACTGTCTGAATATCTTTATGGTGTTTTCTAAAAGATTTACCGTGCTGTTGTTGTTTAATTATGCCATGGGCTCGTAAATCTTCACCTCTTGAACGCATTTGATGACAAAAACACCGTCCAGTGACATTAAACGTTTTGATGAAATGTATGATTTTTTTCACATTGTCTTGGACAGACGAAAGAATTATTTTGAGCGAGGCGCCTTGTTTACTGTTGCATGTTCAAAAAGGCATCCTTTTTTCTAAACCTAATGCTAAATATATACAAATGGAGTGTTTATTGAAAAAAAAAGGTTTTTTAACGATTTTTCAATTTAAATATAGGGCATGAAATCAACGTCAAACATATAACAAAGGTTTTTAGTCAGACAAATCGATAGGGTATTTAGACATGCAAAGGTCACTTTGACATAAAAATTCGAATATGTCAGAAACTTCGGTAAAACATATTATACAGGATGTCTCACGACATGACTGCCATAGCTTGGGAGTATGTTGCTGGGGTGATTTCAAATTAAAAATGTTAAACAAGCAGATACCCCGAAAGCTATTCTGACTGAGCTACAAGTATTTGGCATTTTAATCATCATTTAAAAGAAGCCTTTTTATTTTTTGTTTATTTAAATTTTATTTTATTGAATTAGTTGTTCAAAACATGCACCCATTTGTTGTATACATAGCCCAACTCTTCTTAGAATTGGAGCTGTAGCTCTGCTAACAGTCTCAGGATCAGCACGAATGGTTTCTAGGTAATAATTCTAGCTACCAGTTGTTCTCTATTTTCAATAATGTCTGCATAAATTAGGTCTTCCCCATAAAAAAGAATCTAAGGGATTAAGGACCTTACTGGCCAAGGAATTGCTGAACCACTTCCAATCTACCGGTTTTTGATTAAAAAAATTCTGTTACTTGGAATAGATTGAGTTAATTTTGGCAATTGAAGGAAATTTTCAAGGTGGTATTTTGGCCATTAAAACAATACAATACACCTTGTCAAATACCTATTTAATCATTTAGTTTTTAAAACAGATGAAAAAATCCAGCAGCCCATGCGTGGCATTGGCCTAACCTCAACTTTACCTGTCAAATAAAACAATTAATTTTTTCGTGACAATTCAAAGTGACTCGCAACCATTTGTAACAAAGTTGCATCTTAAAGTGATTCTGTGCACGTGTTGAGAGAAATATTTTTTTAATTCCTTCTCTTAAATTGTGCAATGGTCAACCGTATTAACGTTACTAATTCTGAGAATTTGTAAAAATATTCCCTTTTTAAGTTTGAAGTGGCCTTGGCCTTGGCCGTAAATCTGACAATTGGCAGTACCAAATGCAACTTATAGCCGGAAGCCCTCTGAATTATGTAGGTCTTAAATCTCAAAAACTTAACTTACCAATTGCACGTTATGTTGAAACAGAACGTATTTCAAATTTTTTGAACACTGGTAACCTTTGACGTTCAGTTGTCTCTGAAATTAATATCTAAAATTAGCTTCACTTAAAAAAATTAGCTCGACTTTCCAAAGACTTACCAACGTGTGATTCGTGACTAAAATCGAAACGGTAAAACTTTTGTTCGTGTCCAATACAACTAAACTACCATCGTCGGCTTGGTAAACAAAATGGGTGGGGGATATCCAAGTAGAAGGGAGTCGTCTAGGAGTAAGTTCACCCTAGAACCCAAATAAAAGATTGTACGATTTATTAAGTTACTATGTATGGCATTCGAAATAAAGAATACAAAAATGGATGTTCGCAGAACTGATATTAAAAATTGAGTCTAAAATAAAGGAAACTGAAACTCTTAAAGCAAATATCACTACTATTAGTATATTAATACCTGAAGGAATTGCTCGAGCTTCATTCTCTCGCCGTGCCAGTAGAGAAGTTCGTCAACATAACCCACTAGAAATATAGCAGCTACTATGCCGGAAATAACCAAAGCGATGACTAGTAAGGAAAAGATGATCGACCACCAATTATGTCCTTCATCCTCGTGCAATGCTAGCTCCTGTGTAACAATTGTATCAAGTATAGAAAATTTCCTCAATTACTTACTTAATTATTTATATTATTAAAATTTTATCAACTATACCATACGTATAAAGGTGAGCGGTGGAGATGAAAACACTCTCAAATTAGTTGCGTAATCGTTAGAGAATAAATGATTTCTAATCCTTAATATTTGAAATTAGGTTCAAACTAGGGTCAAATCAAAGACATTAGACCATAAGGAGATTACCAACAGATCATTCATAAATACGCGGATCAATCATAAAAATTGCATTGACTTGGCAGCATTGCAGGAACGCATCTGTTTTACTCGGTGTAACCATCTGGGACATACAAAGATTTGAAGGTTAGAACATTTATTTTTAGAATTTACTTCTAATTAAGTTCACGAGAATACTTATCTCTTCATTCTTCATATGAAAGTTTGATAATAAATGTTTTTATCTTAACTGCCGACAAAGATATTTCTTTCCTCTTCTTCTTTATTTCTTTGTGCTATAGATCCAGATAATGAAGGAACTTAACAATTTGCAATTTGCCAGCACTCATGATTTCTTCTGTGGTAAAATGTCTTTGGTTCGGATAGAGGTTCGGATTTACGCTGGAGGTCATTTCACATCCATAAGTATTTGTTTAGTTCCAAAAATCCTCCATCTCTCAGAGTGGAGTAGTAAAAAAGGTTGTTTCTGTTCTCTTGTATTCATTTAGTGATTGTCAGTGCACAATTATTCATTCAGTAATTAGTATATTCAATTAACAGTGACTCTTTGGTTAGTTGTATTGCAAGTTTTACAAGTTTTTTGCAGTATGTAATGTCTTTCATTAACTATTTTATGTTGCATGTTCAAGAAAAAAATAAAAGTTTTTAACGGGCACACTTGCTTTAGATTTTGTAGTCAGCGGAAAGTAACTAAATGAGATATATATTGCTGCTGTTTTTTGATTTAAAAAATTTAAAAAAAGAATTTTTGAAAATTTAATTTAAGACAAAGAATTATATACAAGATATATTTCTCGGATAAGTCTTAAATATTATCCAAAAAAATTATTTCATTTTCAATGAAGCACTATTTATTTTGATGTAATTCATAAGTTTATTCTTAGAGTTTACTACCACTTTATAGAATTTGTTCCTAATTTGTCAAAAATTCTCAAAATAATACTTAATATGACTCAATGGGATTTTTTTGTATTTTTTTATTATTTCGAGAATTGCCCCTTATTATTTTGAGTTCAGTATCTCTCATTAAATTTAAAAATGTAATTCAATATTGTTTGAAATATAATGACTATATTTATTAAACAAGACTTTTGTCAATTGAATAAATAAAGACTTGATTTATTGAAATTATAGTCGGTTTATGCACTTTTTCAAAGAATATTTTTGTATTTTAGTGCATCAAAATATATTAGCAATACTGCAAGTTGTCAAGATATATTAATACGACAGAATACTAAAAAAGGATCATTTAAAACATACGTGCGTCTTCCCGCACAATCCCCGATGCACAGCGCCACATTGCCCACAAAATTTCATTCTCCCGAATGATGCTGCGCTTCTCGTAACAATTTCACAGCTTTTCCTATCGGCATTATGATCTATGAGTTCTATAAACTCACTGTCACTGTTGGCACGCACGTGTTCACTTGTTTTGATTTTAAGAGACATGTTTCTAATTGACTAGTTTCGTATACTATCCGCTTCAACAACGTCGGTTTAAACCTAAAACGCTTTTACACCTAAGTTTAAATTTACACCGAGGCTGTTTAATTTTGTTTAAATTACATACGGCGGATCACGGGCGGCGCACAGTGGTCGGATTTGGTAAAAACATGGCAATAACCCCAAATTTAATTTTGAAAATATTCCACCCAAAAGTAGTAGTGTTGAACATATATCATCTAACCTCTACTGTTTTGACAGATATACGTTCAAGCGAAAAAAATATTTGCTTGTCAATAATTTTTGCTGTGGCATTTAAAAGTATTAAAACATAACAACTGAGATTAATAAATTATTCCCTTTGCAATATGGATGAAGGAGATAAAGGTATGTTGTTTTACGTCACATATAATAATTATTGATTACAAAATTAGACAGATGTTTTAATTTTGAAAACTGATTTTATATAATTTTGGTAGGCTGATTTCAAAAATTCTATATTCATTAATTTGTATCACGTATTTTTTGCAAATATTAAAGAAAAAAACACGAGTGGAACCCTAGTTAAAAAAGTGGAAAAAGAACTTGAGTGCATGAGTGAAATCTTCGTCTTTAGTCTTTTGTGTTTTTAAGGACATATCCCGTTTTAACATCCAGCAGTAGTCCGCCATCATCCTTATGCTCCATCTGCCTTGGTATCCAGGAAAATAGTTCAAGTATGAAAACAAGAAATACACTTTCAAACTCACGTTACAACCTAGGCAGTGTGCTCTGTCGATATGGCGTTTTCTAGTTCTTTTGGGCCGGTAGGTATAGGTACATCCGGTCTATAAGGAACTGGTCGAATACCATAATCAAGGTTGAGATACACAATTTGTTTCTTATTTTTTCTGTTGAATTCTTGAACATGACACCAACAGAAATACCAATCATCACTGTGATTCCTAGGCTCCCGCCATACCATAGGAACATCAAAATTTAAGCATTTCTTCTTACTTTTTTGCCAGTTTCTTAATGCTTCAACGCAAACGGAACAAACAGTATGAGGAGCCCAGGACTTGTGTTGGTCGCCAAATTTATACATCAAAATAAGCGTGGTATTGGTATTTTTCACAAAAGAAGTTATAGCTTGCGTTTGCGCATAAGTCGGTTATAACTCTGTTGCTTTGGAGAGATATCTATATCCAGTGTTTCCAAATCAAATGTAAGTAAATAAAAACCATTTCATTTAAAAATCATGCCTAACATGGAACAAACATTGATGTCATAGGTATATATATTAATAAAATAATATTTTTAATGTATAGAGCGCTATAAAAAAAAATGACGTGATGGAGAAAAAATTTGCGGCTGACGCGGTTTACTCCGTATTGCTTTGATTTAAAACTTCATTAAAATACACATTCAAAATGCAAATAGAAGTTTGTGGTATTGCAAAATTGTAGAATATTTTGTGGTCCAATAAATTACAATTTGCTAAGGAAATTGTGGAATTAACTAGAGCACTATGAGCACAGCCCTACTTAAGCAAGAACAATGGCATTGTGTAAAATGTTTAACTTGGATTGATTATCGACAACTGTTATCCGGCGTCGCAGAAAAAAATGTTAATCCAGCGCCGTAAAGTGAGTGTTACTGAAGTGTCGCTTTACCAGATCTGCAATATTGCTATCAACTTAAAATATCGTTTATTAAGACACACACGTTATATTGCATATTCTTCCCGATGAAATTCAAAACGCTCGACGGCAGTTTTAATGGAACTCCCGATCTCGATATTCCATCAGACGCATTTAAACGGCTCAGGAAGCAGTAACTCGAATTGAAATAGCGCATTTTTGTTTACCAACCAAACCGCAGAACAACGCGTAAAGCGAAACACGATAGCTTTTAACAACATGTGAATTTAATTCGCCTAAAAACTTAATCAGCTAAAACATTTGTTCGGTAAAATACCTATAAATCCTATTTTTAGCCCAAGCGTGCGTGGGTCCCGTATTTTGGCTATTGAGGGAATACATTACAAATTGGATTTTGTCGATTTTTTGAACGAGCACGTTATTTTAGTCGCGCCGAATACTTTAATAAATTTGTATATGTAAATATGCTTTTGTTAATTATTTAACATAAATACTGATGACAACAGTAGCAGATGAAACGATATTATGATTATTGTATCGGGTGATTCCATTTTCTGTAGACCGGGATAGATTACCGCATTTTGATCGTCTAGTTTTATGTATGCTATATAGATTCAAATATTTGAGTGACTTTAACACACAACCTTTGAAGACGTTGTATTTTTCTTTGGTCAATGACTTAAATGTTATATATGTAGAAATGGATTTTTAAGACTATGTGCAGAAAACCCTACAGATATCCAAGCAACGTAAATCCTGGACGTGAGGCAACTATGCTTTCAGCGGCTAACAACTAAAACGTTACTTACAAAGAATGACAATGCCTACTCTAAAAGAGATCAAACATTGTATAAATCAAATAAATCAAACCTTAATATTGGCTAATCTTACTTGGCATACCTATGCCAAGAGCATTAATATGCAGCAAAAATCCATCCAAGAATTGCAGCCTCTAAGAAGGTTTAATCGCACGGTTATGTTATGTTTCAATAAAAAAAAATTAGATTAAAATATCGAAACCAGTGGAAATACCAGAAAATTAATTTTGCTTGATTATGACATGATATTACGTGAATCGACCTGGATATGACTTACTTTCCTTTTCATTTTATTTTGCATCTCGCTTTTTTCCACTTTTGTTTTTTTTAATTGCCTCTTTTGTGTGGGAGGCAATATGTAAGTGTTGTTGAAAGTAAAAGAACTAAAAGAAATAATTCCCCAGACTATGAATTATGTACTACTTCAAACTTTTTATCGGTGACCGAGTTGGGTGCAGGCAAACTTGAGGTTGTCTATTAAGAACCCCAGCATTGGTACACCTCATTAGTGGTTGCTAAACATTATCTGCTATTAGAGACGTGAAAGTTTTGCCCTTCCATGTGTGTTTTTCATGTTTGGTGTTTCGTTTGGTCTCTCCAAAATACCACTCACTGCATTCAAGAACACCTTGATAGATGCACTCGAGGCATCAATCTAATTACTTCTTAAAATTGCTCCTAAGTTGATATATATTTTGAAGCTAAATTACAACTGGTTATTCTCTCACAAGATCAAACGTCCTCTGACTGTACGACTCCAATGACTCAAAAAGTACACACCAAAGGGTGAAATAGTGAGATCTCTCTCCATCCCACTAATGTATTTTTTTGTTACTTGAACCGAGAATTCTCAAAGAAAAATGCTTGTTTTATACGACCATAGGATTAACGCAACCTAGCGGCACAGATACAAACTTAAAAAATGTTAAAAGGCATAGTCGACTATCCATACCAGTTAAAGCAATATTAATTTATTTTATGTATTTACTTAAACTTCACTTAATTATGCCAATGTACTTGAAGAATTCGTAAAAAAAAGTATACTTAGTTTTTTTGTCTCGGCTTTTGTATATACGAGGTTAGCAATAGGAAACTTTTTGGGACGAATCAGCGTCCTGATCAAAACTAAATGTACGACGCTGAACCAAAATCTATTTTCGCAACGAAAACCCCATCCTTTCCTCATATTTCAACTTTTTAAATCGATTTATAATAAAAAGACTGTGAGCGTGAACATGTTTTGACTGCGCTGATAATCCTTTCAATTATATAAATTGGTTCATTAAATATCCTTGAATTATGAGTGTTAACTCTATCGATTTCTAAAGTTCATTGGCTAAAACCATATATTGATGCACCTAAGTAACGCGACAAGTCTTATGGTGCAGTAACACAATTTAACTCCCAACGTCACAAAGTGTAAAGCACACGAAAAATTTGTCAATTTTCAATTTTAATATTCCTTTCATTCTAATTAGTTAGTTTGAACCCCATTCTGCTGCCGAATCTATATAAAAAAGGCTAATTTTTCGTTACCTTATGTATTTGCCAAACCAATTTAAGCTATTTATCTGCTACATGGTACATGGTTGTGGTTCAAAACTAATGAACATTCCGTTTATGTGTATTGTTGGTTGGTTGTACGATAAAGAAGATATGTTGATTCTAGTTTAACAACTCACCCGATGTAATTTTATAACGTATTCCATAGAGACGTAGGTAGTTTCTCATTCTACACTTAAAACATCATGAACGTTGTAATAAATGCACAGAGATAATTTATTCAATTCAACTTACCAAAACTAATCAAAACTATTAAATAAGAGTATGGGACGCACAAAATTACAAGAATAAAAAAAACAGAAAATAAATAAAAGGCATTGTTGATATAGGTATTGGTTAGTTTAAATCTGTCTAATCAACTAAATTAAGTGATCTTTGATTACATATTTAAAAATATCGAACATAATTAGTTAATAATAGGAGAGCATAAATACTGCCCAATTACGTTTAAAACTACTAAGGATGTCGGGGAAGAAGTACATTTTAATTTTATTATTTAGGGAAGTGATAATTGCAGTACCATCTATGTTCTAAACGGCTAATC